CTCCCTCTGTAAGGTGAAGGTAAAAAGGTCACCAGTTAAACAATAAGATACACTCATTAACAGAAACGCAGCCTTGATTAACACACCATTTCTTTCAAAAGCAGAAACTTTAGCCGCAGCTTTTCCTAATTTTCACTAGGGCCTGGAACAGTTTTACAACATCTACATCCTGGTCTTCCAACATCCTTCCAACACTGATCTGAAAGATTCCCAAACTGCTAACTTTGCCTGCTCCCCTAAGAAACCAACCAAAACACATTTAGAGAGCTGAGCTTTACAGTAATACAGTAATACAGCCAAAGACAAATAAACTGTGATCAAACAAAGAGCACAAACCTCTCAGAGCTCAGATCAGGAGTTCAAGAAGTGGAAGAAAGAAAGCAAGAAAGAAAGAAAGAAAGATAGAAATACTAAGAGAGATGGAAATAGAAAGGGGTATAAGAGAAAGATATCTAGAGACAAAGAAAGAGAGAGAGAGAGAGAGAGAGAGAGGCAGACAGACAGAGAGAGAGAGAGACAGAGAGAGAGAGAGGAGGGTAAATGGGTTCTTTACTTGCTCAGTGGAGCTCGAAACTCAACGCACTCCCACCATCACACTGAGGGTCAGAAGGTCAGCGTTATTCATGGACATCCTCACAGTTCTGTTATATAAAATATACACAGACGAATTTGTGCTTTATGCATATGCAATTCAGAGAGAGGACAAAATAAAGGAAACCACAGACAACTTATCATGAATAAACTGCCGTTTGTCTTCAGAGCAGCTTTTAGCTCTTTGTGGAAAGACATTGCGTTTTGACATTTTTGAAGAGTTTCTAGAGGGAAATTGGAGGATTCTTCAAGAAGAACAGCCCCCGTATCATGTCTGACAGGCAGGCAATGCGAGCTGAAGGCTTTCTATAACTCTCTCAGGAGAACAAATTTATAGAAAAAGAGTAAAAGACATCTCATCACACAATATTGCTTTCCTCCGCTGCTCTGAGGTCTGTGTTCTGGGCGTGTTGTATCAGGTTGCGTGCTTGACACTATAGCTTTTCGGTACAAGTGGTTTTCAAGTCCACTCATTCATAAATAACAGCTTGAAGGAGCTAATAATCACTGGCCGGCTGGCTGTGGTGGGTATAAATTGGGGCCTGGGGTAATTTTTAAGGTACTAAGGTATGTGTTTTGTTTTTTTTTTTCCTGGAACGAATGTCATATTTGTTCCTTTACCTGATACATATGCAGTAAGATCACTTGTTCATCTCCAATAACAGCCTCCTAGACACCTTTTTGTGCTTTCGTCTAGTGTTTCCATTATTTTGTCCAAGTCTACATATCATCACTGTCCAAAAACACAAACAAAAAACAGGTATCTCCTAAATGGTAACTAATATATCGATGCTGTCGGAACAAAACCTCATATCTCCAAAATTGTAATTTTAGAGGAGAAGGAAAAAACCTACTTTATTTTTAATGTAAGTCAATGGAACCAGACTTTTTTCCAAGCAATTTTGTGCTATTTCTTTTGGTCCGTTCATGGTAAAATTTACAAACAATGTAAAGGGCGACAGGCATTTTCAAATTATGTCAAAAACTGAAAAATGACAAAAATTAAGATACAAGGTTTTGCTCCAACAGCAGCGATATATAAGTTAATGTACAGTGATTTTTATTTTGGAGCATTTCTGTTTGTCTGTTCGTCATGCATGTTTTATACTATGTAAAGGACAGCAGCTGTGTTCAAAAGACATAGAAACAAATGGAGATACAGTGCTGTTCAAAAGTCTGACTATCCTCCATTTATTTATATTCCAGTAAAAGCAGCTATTAAGTACAATTTTTCATTTTTGAGGAGATTATACATATGATTAGAAACATGCATTTCCAGATGGAAACGCAGAGTTGCACAGCTTAAATGGTTCCCACTTACCTGCTAGGTTGTTGCTAGGCAGTTACTATGGTATCCCAGGTGGTTGCTAAGGTGTTGCTAGGCAGTTGCTATGGTATCCCATGCAGTTGCTAAATTGCTGTAAGGCAGTTGACATGGTGTATGGGGTGTTTATTTAGTTGTTCATAGGGAGTTGCCAAGTATTAGCTACGTGTTGCTGAAAATGAATGGGAATCTATGTGAGGAACGAGGGATGATAATGACACACAGAGGAGTACAGTAAATGGTTGTGCATTTTTTTTTTATCTCATTCATTACTATGGCAAAAAAAAAAAATCAGAATGTATCAAAGATTGTATGAAAACCATGTATCCGATCAAAAAGCTGTATCCAAGCCCGAATCACACAATCAGACCAGACAGTCTGGAGTTGGAACAGTGTTGATATCTCGAAAACTGCAGGACAAGTTACGTAGAAAAATAAGAATAATAATAATAAAAAAGAAGAAGAATATAAAATGGAGAACAATATAGTAACCATATGAATCACTTGCATAAGGAAGGAAAAAGTAAAAGTAAAACAAGTGACAAAAAATCAGGAGTTAACAAAACTAGAGGTCAAGAAATGATTAAAAGCTACAGAGAAAATGGAGCTCCTAACAACCACCTGGAAAACCTGGTAGACCACAACACTGTCCCCTTCAGATAAACAGCACTTAAAGCTTTCATCTTTGAGAGAGAGGAGAAAATCAAGCTGCTTCAGATCTGAAAACATCCACAGGTGTTTCTGTCCATCCTTCCACTGTGAGAAGACGACTCAGCGCTGTGGGTCTGAAAGGATGTGTAGCTGTCAAGAAGAACCTCACTGAGAAAAGAAAATTGACAAGAAAGAAGAACATCAGAACACTGAAACTAGACATCTGAGATGTGGACTAAGGTTCTATTAGTTGAGTCCAAATTTGTAAGTGGGGTTACTTGAATTGTGAGAAGTAGAAAATGCAACAAACCTCTAAGACTGAACTTAGAAAAATATCCTTGCAGATTTATTTGAAAAACTAAACTTGTCATATTAATAACTGCTGTTGGTTTATTCCATAGTAAATCATACAGTGTAGATTGAAATTGTAGAATGCCATAAAAACTTAGATAACTAGACGTTTTGATGATGGTGGTGGACAGTGTTGGTGTAGGTGATGAACTGGGCGGAGAGCTGATGGCTGTGAAGGCCATAGTGGATGACTCATCTGAACGTACCACTCTTTTCCTCATGTCTGTAGGCCAGTGGATGTAGTTTTAACACCACTGAAGTCGCATAGATACAGATGTCCCTTTAGACACACTAGTCACTAGTAAGGTTCCTGCAATTTGTGACCCCTCTTTCAGACTAGCCATGATCTTTTCCCTGCCCATCTTGATCCAAAACTGTGGTCAACTACACCTGCTCAGCATATTTATAACTACCACAGAGCATGGTAGGACATTAAAGAGGAATTCCACCCTTTTTTTAGGTTGTCCATTAAACAATAGTGAAGATGTGAACAAAGTCCTTCACAGTGGTTTGATGTTTTCTAGAGAAATGTACCAAGTCAGACTTGCTCACAGTGGTGTTGATAGGAACCAGACGTCTGAAGAGTTTAACCTCCTACATGGCCAAGGTCCATCAGCAGGCCCAAAGTTTTATTACACACTTCTATAACCTAAGAATAGCCCAGTCAGTTTCCACTGAAGTCCCTGTAGTTACTGAATAATATGCCTTAGTATGTAAAAAGCCTGGGATTTAAGGGGTTAATAATACACCCCCCAAATCCTCTACCCTCTGAAAATATAGCAGAGAGCAGCATGAATTCCAAGCTATGTCTAAACTTTATCCTGGTCTAGTGCTGGTTTAGCTGGTCACCCAGAATGGGCATGCTGGTTGGCCACCATACCAGCATTCAAAGCACAACATATGCTGGTTGTGCTGTTTTTCTAACAGGGCCCTCACAGAAAGTTATTACATTAAATGGTGGTGAATACACTGCCGGATGCCTGAGACATTGTTTTATGAAAGTTTTAAGATCAGCTTTTGGGCTATTTTTTTAAAAACCCATTCTTGGCGGTAATTTTCTTTCAAATGTATCACTATTCTACACTCTCAAAAAATGTTCTTCAATTGTTTTTTAGCAATGAAAGTTTTTATATAGAACCATAAACACTCAAAGAACCCTTTGCATGGTTTAAGGGTTCTTTGCATCATTAAAGAGTTCTTCAGATTGATGGAAAATGTCCATGAATGGGCAACAGATACTGTTGGGTGCTATATAGAACCATCTACAACACATTGTCCATCAATCTGAAGAACCATTTCATGAAGCAAAGAACCGTTTAACCATGCAAAGGATTCTTTGAGTGTTCATGGTTTTCTCTCTCTCTCTCTCTCTCTCTATATATATATATATATATGATTCTTGTCGTGCTATGCTTGTGAGGACCGTATGTCCTCATTATGCTAGGACTATATTAAGTTTTGGTTCAAGTGAGGACATTTTGCTGGTCCTCACTTGAGCATGTGTTGTTTTTATCACAATTACTTTTTTTATTTGAAAACTAAAAGAGCAGAAAAATAGCTTTTTGGATACTGAGGTTAAGGTTAGGTTTAGGTTTAGGTTTAGGTGTGGTATTATTTAGCTACAGTAACACAAAAATCAATAGAAACCTATGGACGTCCTCATATGTATAGCAAGACAAACGTGTGTACGTGTGTGTGTCTGTGTGTGTGTTTATGTGTGTTTGTGTGTGTTTGTGTGTGTTTATGTGTGTCTGTGTGTGTGTGTCTGTGTGTGTGTTTATGTGTGTTTGTGTGTGTTTGTGTGTGTTTATGTGTGTCTGTGTGTGTGTGTCTGTGTGTGTGTTTATGTGTGTGTGTGTGTGTGTGAGTGTGTGTGTGTGTGTATGTGTGTTTATGTGTATGTATGTATGTGTGTGTGTGTGTGTGTGTGTGTGTGTGTGTGTGTGTATACACGCACACAAATCATCCACATGAAGATCCACATGTATAACATGTATAAGTGAGCACAGAGAATTCAGCCTCCACAGACCTGAAGCGCTCAGCCACATTCTGGACTACCCGCTGAGTGACGTCACCTGCGTACTCTAGGCTGACTTGGTGCGCACGTGGACACTGCGCTCACTTCCGTTTGAAGATGGCGGCGTGCATGTGGTGGCGGGCTGTGCAGAGAGGAGCGGAGAGTGCGGCTGTTTTCCTCAGCAGGAGGAAGGTAACAACACACACTCCACACCCCGCTCTCACACTCCTCAGCCCCGGTCAGCGCCAGTGCGCTCGCGGGGCTCACGTGCCGCGGACTGACTGCGCGAGCCCGTGCTGTCAGTTCACTTCACTCTGCAATGTTACTCTGTTCAGCTCAGCGCCTTATTAAACTGTTGAGAGTCGGAGTCTGGAGGTTAAGTGCAGCTTGTTCCGCCGTTAGACTGTCATTAATGTAGCCCTGTTGTTTTGGGTCTAAACGAGGCCGTGAGGGTCATCCTGGTCATCCTGGGGTTTGACGTTTGACTTTTGACTTTGACTTGTAGCACTCAACAGTTGACAGCACACAATGGGCAGGTGCTTAAAGGGGAATTCCACCCATATTTCAAAAGTTCTCCATTAGGAAAGTAAGTTAGTGAGTAAGATGTAAACAAAGTCATTCAGAGTGGTTTGGTGTGAAATGCTCACTTCTTGAGAAACTTAGAGTCAGAACTGTGGACAGTGGTGGTGGTGGTGGTGGGAACCAGACGTCTAAAGCTTCTAAAAGCTGCCTCACAGAAAACTAAAGAAATAGTCCCTTTTTTATGGTGTATGTTTTATCAGAAACTACCATAAAGCAATATCTCCAGCATCAGGAATCATACTTGTACGCTGTTACGTGAAATGGTTGTAAATATGCTGCCTGATTGTTTTGAGAAAAGATTTTGGGCTAAAATGTAATATTTTTTTAATTCTTTAATGAGAGGTACATGCAAGGCAAAATAGTCCCCAAAGAAAGCTTTTTCAGGCTTACTAATATTTTGCCGTGATCAGTATTACATATAAAGGCATGTGTAGGTTCACTGGAGGTTCTAGATAGTAAATAAAATGGCTATATCTGTGTAGTAAACGTTGCGCCTCCTGGTTCCTATCACCACCACTGTAAAGAAGTCTGAGTCTGTGAGTTTGCTTACAATGAACCAGTCTTCATCAAACCTCTCTGAATGACTCTGTTTACATCTCAATGATGAAATTATTCATATATTTGCAAGTTTGTAAAAGGCGTTTTAGCAGCGAGTCTTAGTGTCTGTGTCGATATTTATTCAGGTTTGTTTGTACTTCAGCTGACTTAAACACATCCTGGTATCTTTATGGTGAGGTTTGTTTAACTTCTTCGTATGTTAACTTTATACCTTTGTATGTCATTTGTTTCATGCTCAGCTCTAAACACCCTTTGACCCCTCTATTTTTTTCCTTTTTCCCCTTTTGCAATAGTTGGCCAATAGCAGTGAACTGTTTGTCACTTTTGTGGCCCGTCCCAAAGTCCACTCTTGTGGTCTGTGGCTTTGCTTAGGTGCACACTTATGAGGCATGATTTTGATTGGAGCGCATGTGGATAGTCACTTGTTAAAAAGGGAAATTATGCAGATTTTTCCTAATTTCTGTAAAATTCAGTTACTGAGATGTAAACAAATTCATTCAGAGTGGATTTCTCTGAAATGGTGCATTATTGAGGAAAATACTGACTCAGATTGCTGTACAGTGGTGGTGATAGGAACCAGGGGTTGCGCAAATGTGGGCAATTTATTTACAATATATTTAAATATATATGTGTGCATATATATATATATATATATATATATATATATGTATGTGTGTACAGACGTCTGGTTCTCATCACCACCATTGTGAAAATTCTTGACTTTTAGGTTTATCTAGAACAGAACATTTCCTGTCAAATGCAGAAATTTGCAAAAATCATTGGAATTCTGATGGGGACAGTTTTGGAGGGCTCTCAGGTCTTGCAGGTGGTTGTTAGGAGACCCATTTTAATAATTTTTTTGAACTCCAATTTTGGAAACTCCTGTTTTTTTTCCACTTGTATTTATTTGACTTTCTCCTTCCTTATGCAAGTGGATTGTTCTCATAACCAGTCTGCTCAGAAATATCTCCTGAAAACAGAATGACTTGTACTTAATGGGCATTTTCACTGGAAATGAATTAAACAAAGGGTGCAATTGGAGTGGGATGCGGAGTTTGTGCTTGTGTGCTCAAAGCGCGCTCAGCCAACACTCTGTCAGTGGCACAAAGTACACTTGTAGTGCACAAGCAAAGATACTGGAAGAGCTGACTTGAGTGCACAGGCCATAGTGTAAAGGTTGATTTTGCTTGTATGTCCCACCAACATGAACTTTAATTGCCCACTTTCAACATCAGCCAAAATTACCCAAGTCTTATTTTCATTGTCATGTGACACTGTGGTCATCCTTCTTTTCTGATGTTGCAACATGTTGGACATTTCATTTTCTTCATTTTGGAATTCTGCTTTCTGATTTTTTTGCACAACCTCACTTTACCACACAGTGCACACACTCAGTGAAAGACTCCTGTAGATGTTTAATGGAGTCTGTATGTTGTACAGGAAGGTCAGATGGCAGCTGGTGTAAAAAGCCAGAATGTAGGTTGCGCATTTGAATTGGCCTTCATTTCTCTTATTTCTGTCCTTGTGATCCCTAAATTGTGCAGAGCCTGTTGACATACAAAACGGTGGCTTATTGAGTTCAGGCTACAGAGACTAGTGCTGCAGAGAAATGAGGATTATTGTTCTTTTCTTCTTTACTTCTCAGTGAGCTCAGTGGGACAGACAGTGCAGGACTTAAAGGAAAACTTCAGTGGTTTTCTACCTGATCTCTGTCTGTTGTGTCTGTAGTTTTAGGGTTGATTATTATAATAAATTGCTGCTATTGGGTTTCTATTTAGAGCACTGTAGTCCATTAACAAGTCAAATACTAAGTTTCTTAGTTCACTATTCTGCACAATTCAAGAGTTATGATTTGCAAAGTTTTCGGGAAAATCATGGTGGTACTCGTGGCTGATGCAGGCCTTTAGAAAGACACACACTAAAGCCCACCAGCGTTGCATTTCTGTATATCGCTGCTGTCGGGACAAAACCTTTTATCTCCATTTTTGTCGTTTTTCAGTTTTTGACATAATTTGAAAATGCCTGTTGACCTTCATATTGTGTGGAAATGGCCCGAAAGAAACGGCCCAAAATGACTTGGAAGAATGTCTGGTTCCATTGACTTACATTAAAAGTAAAGCATGTTTTTCCTTCTCCTGAAAAGTTGTCATTTTGGAGATACAAGGTTTTGTTCCGGCAATAGTTATATATATGTGTGTGTGTATATATATTTATCATTAATATATATTTCACTCATATTTCAATATATATATTTCATCATTAACCCTGTACTGCACACAGTATGAGAGCAATTAAAAATATATATATTTCATTAACTTTTCTTCTATAAAATGGATCTGATTATTAAATTCAAAAACATTTTAAAAAATGTGTGCAGGGGCCCTTTCGGATTATGTTGCCTTGAGGCAACATTGTGCAACAATGGGAAGAAATCATACAGAGCCATGTTCCCTGAAGTGGTGTGACCTGGCTTGAGACTGGCTAAATCCATTCCACTGTCGCACAATGTTGCTTCTAGGCAACAAACATATTTCTGAAGATTCTGATAACAAAAAATTAATATTGAATGTTATAAAGGGTTTAAAGGTGGCCAATAAGAGATAGTATGACCAAGTACATGCTTTTTATTGACCTACTTAAACTCTTCCCTTCATTTTTCGCCTGATCATTGTCTTTAAATATGTTTGTTATTTTAAAGTGAGGAAAATTAGTTTGTTGCCCTGAGGCAACATCGTGCAATAGAGGGTTATGGTGGTAAGTTATGTCACAGTATGCTTTTCTGAGCATATTGTGGATATTGGCAGTACTTAAAGAACAGTAAACAATTGCACGTTTCTGTAAAAATGTGTTCAAATACTTGGATGTTATATTTTTGCCACATCGCTATGGGTGATCGGTCTTTTTTTATATCAAAATAATATAAAAATTTGGCACATCACATTAAGCATAGAAGCTTTAAGCCGAAGAGAATGGGTGCATTGATCTTTTTGTGCGGATAAAAGGCCTGGAGCTTAATTTCCTAGAAAATAATTGCATTTAAATCACAATATTGGAGAAAATGTAATCAGATATTTTCCCCCAAATCATCCAGCCCAGCCCTACTCCATGATGGACTTAAATAAGGGAAATTGAAGGAATCTAAAGTAAATGAAGCAGATTGTGGGCTAAACAGATGTTTTAATTGTGACACTTTCTATATTTACCTGCTTCTACAGCATCTGTTTCTCAAACATTTCTAGACAGGACGGGTGAGTGTTTTACTGTGTTGTCAGCTAATCTAACTTTCATGTTGATAGTTGAGTGAGTGCTCTGAAGCTCACAGTCGCTTTCATCACTTATCACTCTGAGAACAGAGCTGATTAGACTGTTGATGAAACTGCCAAAGTTCGCCTAAGTCAGCCCACAGTGTGCTGATACAGCCTGATCGTAGGTTAGGTTCACATTAGAGCCCTCGTCGCTCAATTCTGGAATGTTTTGCTCGGATCTGATCTTTCTGCCTTGACGGTTCATATTAGGGTTGTTTGTTGTAAACAATTATTAAGAGTGGATTTCTGTGAGAAATTTACTGATTCAGATTGCTTTGCAGTGGTGGTGAGAGGAACCAGGGGTGGCGCAAATGTAGCCATTTACACTGAAACAACCACTGAACCTTCACATGTCCTTTGACGTTTGATTTGTAATGTTTAAAAAAATATATATGTTGACATAAAATGGCCTCAAAGATATAGTAAAAAAAAAAAGAATATATATATATATATACTCTGTGTGTATACATGTACATCCATGTGCGTCTATATATATATATATATATATATATATATATATATATATATATATATAATATATATATTATTAATTATTGTATGTATATGTATGTGTATAAATTACATAAATGGCAAAATAGTCAATCGTCAGAATAGTCAAGTTATTATCATTTACAAACATTACAAATAAGACATCAAAGGACACGTGTTGGTTCAGTGATATTAATAATAAATATAAATAAATAAAAAACAAACATATATATATATAAATATATATATATATATATA